ACTTCGTTGGTGCAGTTCCATTCCATAAGATAAAAAAGATACAACAAACAATAAAAAATTTTAAAATCCAACGTAAGACATTCATCTCTGCCTTTCTAGTTTCTCCATGAACCCTGCTTTTAAGCCTCTCCATTTAAGCCTGTGGATGCCAATGCCACTCAAAATAGCCGTCTCCTTGGTGATGGACAAAGTACTCATTGAAGGTTTTCATTATCTCCAAAACTTCCAGCGATTCCTTGGCTACTTGAAATATGCTATCCATGACTGCAGGAGTCATCTTGTTGTCCCAGCCTCCGTCTCTCCAGTCCATCCATTTCAACAAGCTGCCAAAGAAACAAATCCAACCTAGTTTTAGAACTGAAAGTTTTTCTATAATCTAACAATTGCATCAACATGGCTTGATTGAAACTTCAAGTTGTTAACAATTTGAGGTACATGGAAGTAAAAGAACTAGTAAAATAAACATAAAAGGGTCACGTTATGAAATAACAACTGGATGGATGATTTCGAGAAAGATAAGTGACTACTACACCTACATTCTCCATATGTTCTCGCAATCACAGAGCACAATCACAATACAAGACTTTGAGACTTTCATTATTAATGAAAAAGACCAAAAATACCCAAACTTCAGATATGCAGAAAATGAAAGACCATCTAATCTCTTTTGATATATCTTCAATAAGGAATTTTTCTGCATTTGCTTAACATGAAGCCCTAGTAGCAATTACATCAACTCACAACCAAGTCATCAGGAGAAAGAAACTCATTTCGTCAAAATGAGAAAGATACTTATAAAAAAAACTATCAATAAATGGAATGGAATCAATAATCAATACTAAATGGCATTTACAGAACAAACTGAAGCATTTTCAATGAGGCTGTTGCAGGGAAAAAAAAATGTCCAATAAGCTATATTTCAAAAATTACCAGGGGTTCCTCTTTTAATTCTCATGCTCTCTGGTTTGATTCCTTTTTTGTATCCCTAAATTCCCTCCCTTGATTGTCTTGTGGAGAGATTCTTCCCTCTTCTTCACCATTTGGGAGAATTCTTACATCTCCAGTTTTTGGCTCCATCTGTTCTATAGCTTGAGTTGCTTCACAAGTCAGTGACATTGGTTTAACAAAGGACTTGCCACTGTTCTCTGGGTCAGAAGACTCCTGACCGTGTTCTGCATAGATATCATGCAATTAATTAATGCATTGTTCAAGGGGCAGCTGAAAGAATTAAGCATTAAGCTAAATTAATTAGTTAAAACTTATAATTACCAGATATTCCTCCACCATGATCATGCTCTCCTGTTTCGTTATCCCTAAACTCTCTACCCTGGTTAACACATTGAGAGGTTCTTCCAATTTCTTTGCTATTGCTTTGGAAAATTCTTACATCTCCACTTGTTGGCTCAGAAGGGTGTACAACTTCTGTTTGAGATCTTATTTGGATAGATGATTCAGGGTTGGACAGATCTTGACCATTTGCTGCATTTATGTCAGGCAACCTACTGGAGGCCTTAGGAGAGGCAAGAACAGAGAGGCGGCAGAGTGGGCATGTTCTGTGATTGGCAAGCCAGTGATCAATGCATTCCATGTGAAACGTATGGCTGCATGCAGGTATCTGCTGAAGCTTATCCTCTGCCAGGTAGTCCCCAAGGCATACAGAGCATCTTCAACAAGAATGGGGCCACTTCATTAGATGGGACAAGAGCAGCAAAAGTGAACCTTAAATTTCATATACTTCTGAATTTGCATATGCACCAGCTTAAACATCTATTGCACTTTTCAGCAAAAGCAATGGATCCACCCTATTCTGTCATCACTAGATCCATTTAATGAGATTCTACAGATAAAATCTTCCAGCAGTATGTGTTAAAAATATCCAATTTCTTTATAATCCAAATCCTTATTCTTCCTAATTTGTAGCCTGCCAATAAAAACTGAAATGATACCTGACATAGATGCCGTAGATTTTCCCAATTGAATATGCCCCTTATTTAAGAAAGATCATTTGAAAACCTGACTCAATTGGTTACCATATTAGGTTGGTTACCATATTAGGTTGAAATAATGGAGAATGCACCTCAAGGAGTACACAATGATTCACCATGAGACTATTTAACTGTTGCAGCCTATGGTTCTTCATAAAATCAATCTGCAGGACCTCAATAAGATCCACTTTTTTTCGTCTTTTATCGATTTTGGCCCAAAAGTTATTATAAATCATGGCAAAACCAACAGAATGATTTCCCACACAGATACCAGAGAAGAGTTGCTTTCAATGGAAGGAAAATCTCTAAAGACATTGGGTTCAACCAAATGCAGGATTCAATTCAAGAAACAAAATACTTTGACAAGCCTGTTTGACAAGGTTTGGATAATCAAAGTAATGTGAAAAAATAAGAAAATTTTACTACAAAATAAAAGAATGCTAACTCACTGTGTATCTTTTATGGAGAAGCTCTCTTTGTATATGATAATGGGTAGCATCTCTCTCACTTCTTTCTTCAACCCCAGCTCAGCCTGGAAATTGAAACCAGGAAAAATATGAACAAATAAATGGATGTACACAAAAGTGTATCCAAAAAAAAAAAATCAGAATCAGCAGATTAAAAGAACGAAAAAAATAACATATTAGTCGAACAAGCTCAGGTCATACTCTGGAAAGCTAATCGTTGTTCTGCACAGATGTTCTCATTAGAAGAGAAGACCAGTCAACTTCCTGGCGCCGAAGATAGAACATGTAGAACAAGAAGAGGAGAATGAAAGTGAAGAAAATTGGGACTGAGAAGACAAAAGCTTGGTACAGCTTCAGCTCAGGCGGAACAGTCGAAGATGTTGATGACAAGCAACAATCAGCTGGTTCTGTATCATTCTCAGACATCACCAAGGATTCTGCTTCAACAATCCAAACGCCCCACAAATCTAATATATCAAGAAATTAAAATCAACCCCTATAATGCCCGTTTTGGATCAAACCCAGATGGAAATTTCTCTTGTTTTGGTTTGCAAATGGAGAAATCAATGGCAGCTTCGGTAATGAGAAAGAAATGTGTATTTTCCTTCCTTTTAGCACCATCGATAGAGTCAAAGGTTTCTAGATCAGACAAATTAACAGGTTCTATTCAAAGCAAGAATCCCAGGAGAAAAACAGACATTAAGGAAGACTAAATGAGTAAAAACAGTGAAGAATGCAGGAATTAAAGAGGACCCAGAAGAAAAAATGCAGACTTCGACAGAAAAGAGAAATTTACTCCAACAAAGAGTCAAGAGAGAAGAAATAGGAGTAGATCAACAAACCCACCCCTAGGAATGCGACAGAATAAGCAAGAAAATGAGAGACAGGAGGAAAATGTGGCTTTGGGAATGATAATATGATTCGAAGGAGTTAAATTTCAGTGAAGCTGGAAAGTTATGGGATTTTGCTTTGAAGCGTATGAAGTAGAACAAGAAAAAAAACTACCTAATGAATAAAAACAGCATCTGCTTTTGGATCAAAATGGCAGGCGCGTACAGAATTGTTTTTAGCTCGATGATATCATTTTTTTTCTAAAACAAAGTAGGTTGTCTCAAGGCCGTTTTCTTTTATCTCTCTCTGTTAGGATATGAAGTGGCAAGCAAAGCAGGAGGTTGTTCAACTAACATATAGAGCTAGTTCTTTCATATCAATTAAGAATTGAGAACCTTTAAATACTAGTATACATCATAAGAATGTCAATAGACCCATGTCAGAATATAGAAAGACTACACTAGAGCTTAGTGTCTCTATTGATAATCACATCTATTTTACCATCTAATATTAGCATGGGAGATCAATGGATCTAGCGATATAGTGTCTCTCAGCACTACAATACTCTGGCCACCTCAATTGGTTTTCTAACTGGTAGATGGACGAAAGTTGTCCATTTGCATACCAATAGCAATGCTTGAACCATTAAATCTTACCTTGGAAGCCTTACCATCACCCAGCTCTTCAGGAACTAATTTCCTCTTCTCCATCCTCCCCTTCATCTTACTTGGTGTCTAAATTTGATTTCACCCAAGCCTTTTCCATGTCTTCTTCAGGTTGACTATGTGCCGAAGTAGTATCTCTTATAATGGAATTTGACTGCTGTTTACTTAAGACAATATTAACCACACATATTCTTTTACTGGAGCAACCAAGTCTGTACTAGCAACTTGTTGCTCCTTACTAACTTGTTGAGCTCAATGGGAAAGTTGATTTCCATTAGATGATTCCCCTTCCAATGGAGAATCAAGTTTTGGCTCATTATTTAGAAGGCTAGCTTTCGAGGCTAACAACTTGCTATTCAACAAGACCAACTCTTCAAAAGTTTCTAGTCCCCATTAATCATTGTCAGCACATAACCATGTACCATAAGGATGAGATACCTTCATTCTAGATTCCTTCAATTGAAAACCAATCCCACAATCAAAAACTACATGTCCCATACATCCACATATGAAACAAAACTCTGATAGTCTTTTATACTTCATCTAAACCTGACGAGTGTCTATGGAAGAAATTTTGATTTTCTTGAAACATCTTAGCAGTTTATTTACCTCAATTTGAATACAAACTCGTAAAGCTCGAGTAAAAGAAACATCCACTTCATGAACCCTACCCATACTATTTCCGATTTGGTATCCTACTTCCTCCCCATGCATTCCATAGGGAAGTCTAAATAGTTGCATCCAAAAAGGAGATGCGGTGAAATCATAACTATTTGAGGCAAAGGATTTATCAAAACATTTCAAAATAATTAATGAACAATCAAAATTCTAGGGTGACTTCTGTAGTATCTTGTTGACATCATAGTTATTTGAAAGCTAGAATAGGAAAATTTTAGCTCCCAGATCCTTAACTTGCATAACAAAATTGGCCTTCCATGCGATGCAATTGCATTCTGCAGTCCTGTAAGGTTAACTCTCTTATAGGTATGGATTTTCCTTAATAGATAGAGGAATTTAGAGTCAATCAACAAAATATTCCATGCATTCTCTAAGGGTAATTCTGTTTTTTCTTCCTCTAAAAGTCAAATTTGCCCTAGAAGGGACCTAATCTCATCCATAGCTTGGCTAGGGGATTCAGGCCCTAGATTCTGATTACCTATCCTGTTGGACATCTTGGACACTGAGAGTGTGGATTGAAATCCTCAAATTTTTGTACAGAGGCAAAGAAACAAACCGATGATGGATCTAAAAATTAAGACTTGTAAGGCATTATTTCTGGTTGTTTGTGGCAAAATAAAAGATGATTGCTGATGATTAGAGCAGGTTTTGTATGAGCAGCCCACCTAAGTGATGGCTACTTGACGATCGGGAAAAAGATGATTGCTAGTTGGAAATCTTCTTAGGCATCGGAGCGGAAGATGGGCAACCCATGTTGGTAAAGGTTGTTTAGCTTGTGGGAGGAAAATGGTTGCCGACAAGAAAAGAAGAAGGTATACAAACGATTTATTGATTTGAGTGGAAGGAATTCAGTTCCCTTTAAATAAGATCTCAAGTTCGAGTTTAGTAAATTGAAAAACAGGTGCTGGGAGAGCTTTCGCCCATATAGGATCCAACTTAACTCGATTCCGGATTAGTCAAAACCCAATGTAATTTTTGGATACCAAATGTTAGTAAAAAAAAAAAAAGAAAAAGAAGAAGAAGGTAGAGGAGGCTTTTATCTAGAGGAAAGAAACCCTACGAAGAGAACCTAACCTAACCCTAGTTAGGAGGCAATGACCTACACTTTATACTTGTCCATCATTTAACTAACGTTGAAAAAAGGAAAATGATATGTACCTTCTATACTCACACACACCCAACCACACATCCATAGTTTACCTATTAAAATATAGTAGTGAGTTGTGATTATCTTATCCTTCATTTATTCTACACAACCCGATGACTTGGATAGCTAGCGCCTTCATCTCCCTCTCTAACCCTTCTCCCTTTTTGCATCCCCAACTCCATCGCCAACGTGAGCTTTCTGCACCTTGCCTCAATGGACACCCCTCTTTGTTTTTAGTTGCCTCACAATACTATTAATCACCCATGTCTTAATTTCTATTCTTCATCAATTCATCGTTTCAAACCTTCTTTCTCCCCAATCCCAAATTTTCTTCCTCTTCATCTTTCTTCTTCCCAGCAAGTATACCCACGTGAAAATGAGACTTCTTCTAACTAAACGCACATCTTATTTTTGTTCTTGAGCTTTTCTAGCCAGAAAATGTGCAAAATAGAGAGAAAAAGAAAGGGAGAGAAATGGAAAGTTGCTATGTTTTTTCCTATGCACTATTTTGGCAAAATGTACAATCTACAATAATCCACCATTTAATCAAGCTAAAATTTAGATTGAGGGTTCCAAAGACATGAATCTTTATAGCGAACAGTCACATTTTGATTTGGAGCCTTGTGGTATCATATTTGGAGTTTAAAACACACATAGGTTATGTTTTTCCTTGTACATTATTTTAGCAAAGCATACAATTCGTGCTAATCCACCGTTGAATCGAGTTGAAATTTGAACTAGGGGTTCCTAAGATATGGATCTTTAATGTACATGGTCACTTTTTGATTTGGAGTCATGATAGTATCAAATGTAGAGTTTTAGAATCCTTGTATTTGATTCTATTTTCATAATTAAAGTGAAAGAAGATGGAGAAGTTAAGCAGAACAAGATTTGAGATATGTTTGGAAACAAGAATAGATGAACGAAGTATGAATGGCAGTAGGTGTAAGTGTTTTTACGTCTAATTTCAAACACTGAATATTATTTTTTTAATAAGTGTGTACCAAACGGTGAAGAACTAGGGTGTATACACCATTCAATGTCCAAAAAAAATTTGTTACTAAATTTCATTATAAAAAAATGTGGACAAATCAATTCTAATATTTAAGTTCTATGTAAAAGAGATAAAAAAAAAAAGTATATTGTACCACTGTCCTGGTATAGAAACTGCTTTCCTCTTTTTACCATTCTATTAGCATAGAAGCCGCTTTGACAAGTCCCTTCCTTTGGGTCTCCTCTTCTTGCTTGAAGCCTCCCTCTTCTTTTTCTGCTACTTCTTTTGTAACTGGATCTTAATGCATATGGTTGTTGCAACTTGATATAGTAGGGCCATTAATAGGTGGGTAGTATTGATAGCTTAAGTAATTACTTTTCTCAAGAAGCTAGTGTACAGTTGAGAGTGTCTGATAACTTATAATGTTAATATGGATTTTCTTTCTACTTTAATAACTCTATTTATGTCCTTATGATGATTATTAGCATAATCTCTAAGTGTAGATGACTTTTCATACTTAATAGCTTATATATGTTATAGGCATAATTTTAAACCTATATCTAATGCTATAGAATTTGCTTTTATTTTAGTTATATATGCCATGATATAAAAATTTATATGTAATCTAAATTTTATTTATTTTAATTTATAAACTTTTTATTTCTTATAAAAGAGTACTTTTTTTTATATAAAATTGTGCACCCATGTTATTCATATAAATGGCAACAGGAAGAAGAATACAATACTACGCAAGTGCCTTATCTCCTGTTACAAGGTGTGTGATGAAATCTGGGATTTTGGCATGCCAAAACAAATCATCCTCAGCCTAAAGTGCCCTTTTGGTAAGCTCATGAGCTATTGTGTTTCCGGTTCTTCGAACATGCTGCAATCGGCAGGCTATAAAAGAGGCCATGAGGTTCTTACAGTCCAAGAGAATTGTACTGAGGCTGGAGGTTAATGTTTGAGTGTCACTATTGATTATCGTGACTATACTTACACAATCAGTTTCCATGACAATCCTATCGAACATAAGGTCCTTCACCAATTTTAAAGCTTTCCACAGGCTACATGCTTCAGTCTCCTTAGCCGAAACAATCTTTGTCCTTTAGAAATCATGGCAGCTAATACTTCCTTGTTAGAATCATGAGCCACTACTCCTATTCCATGCAGACTTTGCTACTCAAAAACTGCTCCATCCACATTAATTTTTGTAAATCCCGCTGTAAGTGGCGGCCATTTAGTTTCACTCAACCTTTGTACACCTGCAACCCCTTTCCCCCTAGATGAAATGGCTACATAATATTTAGTCAAGGAGAACAATGCTTTTTCTATAATTTGGCTAGGTACAGTAGGCTTGTTGTCCCACAATGCACTATTCCGGCATTCCCATAGTTTCCAACATATAACACATAATAATTCTAGTTGTTCCTGATTCAAAAAATTTGCCATGGCATAAAAAAAATCAACAAAACTGTCCACCTGGAGCTCAAAGACTTTAAGGCTTAAAGGAGATCCCAACCACATTGCTC